GAGCTGCTGGACTCTGCAGAAACAGAAACTCGGCAGCAGCCCTGGCCGCACCCTGCCAGCAGGTAAGAATCCCGCGCGACCAGTTTGCCCTCCACGCGCACAGGGGCGCACCCAGCACCCAGGGGCACCTGATTTGGGGCGCCCAGAAAGCGCATCTGCGGCTAAGTCTGCACAGAATCTGCCAGCGGCCTCCCAGGCAGAAAGGACCTAGGCTCGGGGAAGGCCTGGGGCCCTGCAAGTCACTGGGGAGCTGACCCCTCCCGACCCCCCGGGGAAGGGAGCTGCAGGGGGGCGAGGCCTCCTGCGAGAGCGCCATCTGCCATCTGGCGGCCCGCGCCACGTTTCAGAGCCGGGGGTGAACGCCTGCCTGCTTCTCAGGAGACAGCGTTCTCAGGTGTCCACTGTCCACAGAGGGAACGCGGGGAGGCCGGGGAGGTGGAAAGGCAGGCCCTCCACCTGTGAGACAGGTATTACCTGCGAGCCCAGCTCCGGGTTGGCCATCAGCTCAAGCCCGCTGCCAGGCCCCTGGCGGGTCGCTGCTCCCAGACCTGGGCACCGAGCCTTGGGGCTTGGCAAAGCTTGCTTGCTTGCTCTCTCCTGGAGGTTCTCGGGGAGACTGAGGTTCTCGGGGAGACCGCCGCTACGGCTGGAACATCAGCCAGAGCCCGCGGCTGGGCCCAGGGCAGGGTCTGTGGCCGCCCTGGGGGCCTTCGCCTGCTTGGGCCAGGGCTCCCCTCCAGGTTTCGGTTGCCTCCTCTAAAGGAAGAAAGCATCTTGCTCTTGCCCAATCAAGTCTCTGGGGCCGGGATGCTGATGGGTGAGTTCCAGGGGTGAGATAAAAGTGCTTTGGCCAGGCTGGTGGGCGTGTGGGCCGAGAGGCAGCCAGGCAGGGGGAGGGGAAGGGCAAGAATGAGGGTCAGAGCCCAGACTGGAGGTGAGGGCCTGGGTGAGGGCGGGAAGGACAGAGGAGGCATTGTGTGGCTGGCCCGCCAGGGCATTGCCCTTCACCTCCCTCCCAGTGGGCCGCGGTGGGGGGGAGGTGCCGGCCCCCCAGAGAGGGCGGATGAAGAACCCACCCAGCAGGCTGCCCACGTGTCTGGCCGCCCCCTGCCCCCAGCCCTAGGGGCGCCGCTGCTAACTGGGGCCCCGGCAGGCTTCCTCCGGCGGACTGTGGCCAGCCAGGCCTCCCTTCCCTATGCCTCAGTTTCTCACCAGCTCCAGGGGTCAATGCGGCGGCCTCACGGGAGGGCAAAGGACCTCAGGGCAGCGGGGAGGAGGCTACCTAGCGGGTCTCCGCAGCCGCCTCCCTTCAAGGCTACGACTGGGGGAGCGCCGCCCCTCGTGGCGGGTCTTCTGGGCGCCGCAGCCCGCCAGGGAGGAGGTGGGGAGAGGAGGGCGCGGTCGGGCCCCC